AGGGAGAGATTCGCCGAGCTGCTCCATCACGGCGTTCCCGAACAGGTGCTGCTTGGGGTGCTCGCGCCGGTGCCGCCGGCCCAGGAGGCAGAGCCGGCGGCCTTGGAGGCGATGGACCCAGCACGCCGGGCCGAGACCATTGCGGCGATCGACGCCAACCTGGTGGCGAGCTCTACCCGCCGGGCCATGGAGTCTCGGGTGCGGTCTATGACGGCCCTCGCCGCCCGCGGGAAGTTTGAACTGTTCCCGCTCGACGCCACCAAGCTTCAGATACTCGCCGGGGCCCTTCGAGATGAACCTCGCCGCCGAGCCCTTTGACCAGGAGATTCTGTTCCACGCCGTCGACGTCATCATCGTCGCCACCTGGTTTATGCTCAGAGAAATTGAGACAGCCGCGGCGAGAGTCAGGGACATCGAAGTGACGCCGTCGGCGGTATCACTGGATATTCCGCTGCACAAGACGGCGCAGGGCGGCCAGACGGACCTTACCCGCCGGAGCTTCAGGTGCGTCTGCGCCGTGAGGGCACACCCCTTGTGCCCGCGGTGCGCCGCGGCCAGGCACCTGGCCAGGATGAACGCCGCCGGGGCGCAGCCGCAGGACTTCCTCTTCCCGGCCCGGCGACCGGCGGCCAACAGCGCTCCAAGCAGGACTCCGCCGAGATGTTCCGGAAGGTCCTTGACGCCCGCCGGCTTCCAGACGACCTACATCGACGACTCCGAGCGCCGCCGCCTCATCTTCGGGGGCCATGCAGCTAGAGTGGCAGGAGCGACGTTCCTAGCGCTCCGCGGGGTCGCCGTCGCCGTCATTCAGCTCATCGGCAGGTGGGCGAGCACGTCGGTGGAGAGGTACACCCAACAAGCGCCGTTGGCAGTGGCTCCGGCGGTGCCGGCCCAGGCCCTAGCACTGACGCCGGGGACGCCGAGCTTGCAGTCGCAGCCGGCGCACGGAGCCCAACCACTGCAGGCGGCGGCCGCGATTTGCGACCGGCCGCAGGAGCCGAGCCCGACAGAGCCGGCGCATGGATCGGGGTTACCCGCCGTGGATTTCGCCGCGGACCTCCCCAGCATCGAGTTCGTCCAGGCACCGGCGCCGGTGCCCGCCGAGAGGGCCATTCCGGGCGCACACAATCTATGTCATGAACTGCCGCACGAAGCTGCTCCATGCACCCGCCGCCGATGAGAGCGCCGCGGAAAGGTCGGAGTGGCAGGCCAGGTGTGGCTGGCCGTACGGCGTGCGGCAATTCTTTAGGCTGCATGACCTACCGCCGTCGCCGCGACTATGCCGGAGGTGCTACCCAGAATCCACGGTGGACGTGGGCGCGCCGGAGGAGGTTTCATCCTCTAGCAGCTCGTCGTCCACCAGCGGCGCCACGTCGGACTCCGATTATAGGGGTCACGACGCAGTCGCCGGGAAGGGCGGCAGGAGACCGAGCCCAGTTTTGTCGCCGCGGACAGGCGGCGTCGGCGATAAGCCGTGCCGCCGCCGCAGGCAGGAGCCGGAGACGACGGCACATGAAAATCAAGGTCGGCGGGCCGTGGCGCGAATAGGTTCTAACACACAGGGTGGCTCGCGCCCCCATGTGAACCGCCGACAGTTTTTGTTCTTAAGCCTTCGACGTAGCCACTCCCCCCCCCGACCAGCCATGGCGGCGGCCCCGACGGTCGCGGCGCAGATGGTCCAGCTAGCCGACCTCTACCAGACCGCCGGCGCCGGCGAGGCGATCAAGGACTACCTCACCGCCCGAAAGATCACAGCGACGCCGACTTTGGCGCTGATAGCACCCACGGTGGAGCGCTTCACTACGCTCCTCATTGCGCCGTTCCTCGCCGGGGTCACCATCGACGCCAAGGAACACAAAGCGGAGGATGGGCAAGACGCCGTCGCGTCGGCCATCCTGACCCATCTCTTTGTGGAGGCCCGGCGGCAGTGGGACGCGGTGTCCTCGACACCGCCGCCATCAGCTTTGCCATCGCCGCCATTGCCGCCGCCTATCAACCCGGGCCCGTCCTCGGCCCACGTGCCGGACCGGCCGCCGAAGACCTTCTCGGCGTGGAACCAGCAGGTCAAGGCCTATGAGGACCGCCTGCTCGACGGCAAGCGCCGCACCTTTCCGGTACAGGAGTTACTGGGCGCCGAGGAGATACTCGCCAGGATGTGGTTTGAGCACACCGTCTCTAAGATGTACACGCCGGTCACCTTGGGAGAGATTGTGTCGCGCCGTACATGGACGCCGGGAAGGGTGCTCAACCCGCTCGCGGCGAACAGAGCCTCTGCCGCCGCCAGCTCCAAGGCACTGCGCTTCGACCACGGCGCGCTGGTGCAGGAGGAGCCGGCGGAATGGTCCCCCAAGGGCCTCTTTTCGACGATCGACGGGGCCAACGCAGCCAGGTGGGCGTGGACCCTGCTCGGCATCGGCGAGGAGGACGACGTGATGAAGTACGCCGACTGGTTTGTGGCGAAGGCTCGGGCGCACTCGGAGATGGTGCCGGCGATCCAGGCCTTCTGGCACAAGACGGCGTGGACCCTGGCCATGGCGCTGCGGAACAGCACGTCCTTCCACGAGGCCACCAAGCACATCATGAACGACGTCGCCACCTGGCAGGAGGTCATCTTGTCACAGGCCCCGCCGCCCCGCCGCCAGCCGCAGATTTCCACAGCAGCGGCGCCCACCGACACGACGGAGCAGACAGAGGACCAGGACCCGACGTGGTGGGGCATGGGCGGAGGCCGCAAACGCCGTCGCGGCGGCAAGGCACGCAGCAAAGGGCGCGGCGGCAAGGAGAAGCAGCAGCAGTCCGGTCGGGGAGGCGACGGGAAGGACGCCGCATACCAGGGATGGTGGAGCCAGAAGGACGCGGCAAGAAGGCGAGCCAGGACTGGTGGGGCCAGCCCGCCGCCGGCGGCAAGCAGCAGCACTACGACGATCAGGCCCGCCCATGGAGGGCCCAGGCGTCGGGCAAGGGTCGCCGTTAGGGACCGGGGCCTCGGCAACGGCGCCCGAAGTGAGGTACCCGACCCACCACCGCCGAAGAAAATCAAGCTCTCCAGCCGGACGCCGAGGGGCGACGAAGTCATTGTGCTGTCGGCGTTCGACGGTGTGGGGGCCGGACCTTGGTTAGTATGGGATCTCGTCGGCGAGCCCAGGGCCACACTGGCCTGGGAGGTGGACCGCGCCGCCATGACTACAACATACCCGGGATCCACCACCGCGGCGACATCACGGAGGACTCCCCCAAGGACACGGCGAAGAAGATCGCCGAGCTCGACCCGGAGGCAGGGTGCATGATTATTTTCCTCGCCGCGCCGCCGTGCCAGGACTTTTCCCGCGTGGGAGACCGGGAGGGTCACGCCGGCAACCGCGGCTACCTCTTCAACTTCACGGCGGATTTCATCGACGAGCTGCGGCCTTTGCTCGCGCCCCGCCGCTTTGGGGTGTTGGTCGAGAATGTCGAGATGACGCCGGCCGACGCAGCAGCCGCGACCAAGCGACTGGGCTTCGAGCCGGTGTTCGCCGATGCGGCGGAGTTCGGCTGGATAGGGCGCCCACGGCTGTGGTGGACGTCGATCGACTGGGAGGAGGTCACCCACGACCCCACCACCGCCGAGAGATGGACATGGGTGCTGCATCGCCGCTGGAACAGGCTTCGCCTCGACACACCCAGGGCGGCCGCCGAAACCTTTGACTTCGACGGCCTCAAGTTCGCCGACGCCGTGGCATCGGGGAGATTGCGACTGCCATGTTCGACGACCCCGGCGGCCGATGAAAGAGGCAGACCGCCGCCGCGTTCGATGAGGGGGAAGGTGACCACCGACGTTCAGCAGCGGTGGCTGCTGGACAGCCGCCAGTTTGCGCCGTGGCACTACCAGAGGGAGGCCATGCTCGCCGACGACCAGGGGAAGCTGGTCGTCCTCACGCCGGACGCCAAGGAGCAGCTGCACCACATGCCCAAGGGGTACACGGCGAGAACCAAGGACGGCGAGTTGGAGCCGCGCACCCGCCATCGCCTCATCGGCAACGGGTGGCACTGGGGCGTGGCGCGCCGTCTCATCCTGGCCCTCCTCGTCCACACGGCGGTCGCGGCGGCAGAGCCGTTGGAAGTACCCAGGTCACCGTCGAGTACGACGATTCAGTGGATCGCCGACCAATGGGGACCCCAAGGCCCACAATTGGGACCAGCCCCGCCGCGTCCCAGCATCGAGTACCTGCAGGACCTCGACGAAGACGGACACTGGGCGGCCTCGGCGATGATGCGACATCCCGTAAAGGCACCGCCGCCACTTGAGCCGGCGTGGGAGAGACTTCTTGTACTGCGGCACCGGTGGCGCCACGACCTGCCGAGGATACGCCGCGAGGTCATCGCCGAGGTGCAGGGCATGGTCGAGGACCTCGCCGAACAGACCCAGGTGTGGATGGCGGCACGTGCGTGGTGCGTCCGCAACACCTACAGCACGCCGGACAAAGAACGGCCGACCCAGGTGCTGCCCAATAGATCCAAATAGCTAGAAA